AATGCTACTACGTAGGATAGATGGGATCGTCACCGGTTTGGCAAGATCATCTTCCATTTTTGGAAATCATTCGAGATACCTCACTTTCATCGTCACTTTCGTCGTCACTGTCACTCACTGCTTCCAAATCTCCTACCTGAATCGATTCACCATTATTGGGTATCATGCTCAAATTGTCAGCCAAAAGACTGATTTCATTCTTTCTTCGGAAGGTTGATCCTGAACAAAGTCTGTGTGATCATTTTCAGCCACTTGAAAACTAGTATCAGAACTATTTTCAGATGAAGGAAACATGATAATGTTATCTTCATCATTCGAATCTTCACCATCGCTCAGATCTTCAATAAGGTTTTTGTGCTTGTCAAGAAGTGCGCCTTGATCTTGATGGAGCATTTCGTCAGAGTTCACAAGATCATCATCATTGCCGTCAGAAGGAGTAGGCACTCTCTTGTGGATATGAGAGACCGATCTACATCCTCAACATTAGCAATGAGTTTAAAGTTATCCTTCTCGACCACTCGTTCTGCCCATTTCGACAGCGGTTTATCTTCGTCATCCTTCTTGTCTGTAGGTTTTGGGGAAGCACTTGCACCCTTAGCCCATTGAGGTAGCAACGTGTCTCGTAAGATGGGCTGTGAAGATGGAGTGGCCTTATTGGAGTGTTGTTCATTCTCTTCATGTGGTTCTGAAGTGTCTTTTGATCCAAATCAAAGAGCTGTTTGCTCAAAGACTTTACGAGTTCTGAAGATGGTAAACCTCTTGCAGATGGAGGTGGAGGAAGCTGTGAAAAAGCAATGGGTACGTTTTTGATATCATGATCGCTCGACTTGGGTGTAGGAGGTTGTGGTTGTTGAGAAGGTTGCATGTGATGAGCGGATGGAACTGGGCTGTTCATCATGGATGATGCTCGTTTTAGTTTTCTAATTCATCCATTCTCTCCATCATTTGTTTGGTTAAATTAGTGCCAATGGACCAAATAAAAATGCAACCATCTGCCGATGTAGTAATTAATCTCTTGAGATCGTGCGTAAAAGATATTGAGGTGATAACATCAGCATGTCCTTTCACTCTAGAAATAAGCATTCTGCGATAGAAGGAATACACTCTCAAATGTTTGTCTGAAGCACTTGTGACAGCAATAATACCAGCAGGGCATAGTTTAACCTTCAATGGATCTGCATTATCAACTCCTGTCTTGACAGGTTTGTTGTCTTTTGTCTCGATATATTGTTTGCATTTTCCAGATTCAATATCATACACGTTAATTCTCTTTCCTTGTCCAGCTGTTACTGCCCATTTTCCAGTAATGTCAACATCCAAATCAAATACAGAAAAAGGTGATGGAGTTTGTTGATATCGTACAACTCGAACGCTCTTCTTACTAGCAACATCCTCAACCCTTCTGAATACCACAGATTTCTCTGCTCCAATACTGACTAGTTTGAGAACTTCACCGTCTTTTGTGGTAGTGGAGCTAAATTTAAGGGAAGTAACAGAGGAGCTATGGTCATCTAAGGTTTGTACAACATCCACATTTCTATGGCTCATTTTGTAAAGGTGAATCATACGGTCACGGCTGCCAGAGCCAAAAATGATATCTCCGTTTGGTAGTTGATGGCTGTCCAAGCATAGAACTTCAGACTCGTGTGCAAACTCCGTGTATATTGGGTCAAAATTGAACACATCATGGACTCTTACATGTCCTTGCTTGTCACCCGAAATAATTGCAGATCCATCTGGAGAAAAACTGATACTTCGAATACCACCGTCAGCATTCTTAACACTGGGAGGAATGTGCAACACAGCAAGAAGCTCCTTACAGAAGGCACTTTTGCCAGCAACCGAAGAACGAATATTCTCTTCTTGATCCGAGTCAATATTCCAAAATCTGATAGTATTATCAGAGGAGCAAGTGGCAAATGTCCCTGGTGGAAGACTTGATTTTGTATTGACAGGAAGAACATCAAGATCCCAAACACAGCCAGAGTGACTGATGAACGACCTATATTTGGATATTAAGGACAGATTCGAAATATCCCACACAAATAAACTCCTATCGTCATACATGACAGCAACCTTTTCACCGAAAATGCCGCAAGCAAGTGCACTTGGAGGTATGAAGTCCTCCGATACAGCAGGCTTGACATAGCTATTTGAATGATCAACAAAGAATGCAAGAATAGATTTAAATGGTTCAATCATCATGCTTGATCATTCATACGTACCTATTGTTGATATTATTGACACTTTTCATGGTAATGTGACTGGTGGATGGTGGTGGTTCGGGAAGGGTCTTCTTGAATTGCAGAGTTTTGGTTTCAAACAATCGAACCACTCCTTTCGCGCTTGCAGTGGCAATGTATTTATCGGAGACTGACATGGAGAAGGCTTTTTGGACTTTGGTGTTTACCCAGCTTTGTAGTTCCTTGCATTTTGGGTCTATTTTACAAAGAATTCCGTCTTCAGTAATTGCATACACTTCCGAGTGTTCATTCCTATCAAAAGAACATATTCAATATGGATCAAAAGAAAAATGTTGATGACAAACGACTAGTTCACAATCATCACGAAACTTACTTTCCTCTTGATTCAATACTAACAAAATTTGCTTGCTTCCACACATCGAGGTTACATAAAACTGATCGGACCGAGATGAGGGACGATTTTGCTGTTCTTGCATAGGACCAAAATCTCACGAAACCTTTTCCCACCGTTATGAAACCATTGTCATCATTAGGAGCCAAAGCAATATCGTTGGTTTCGTCCACATTTTTTGAAAATTTCAATTCTCCCTTTCCGACACTAGGTGATGATTGACCAGAGGCAGGAACAAGGTCCCAGATTTTCAATTCATTTTCAGCACCTAAACTTATGAGCATTTTGGAATCTTTGGAAAAACAAATTTGCTTAATCTCATGTTCGTGACCTTTTCCTTACTCTTCACATCAAAAGTGATTTTTGGTTTTTCTAATGTCACATTCGTGTCATTATTGTTCTCCTTGTTGTTAATTGAAGGAGAAAATATTTGATGCAAATCCCAAACAGCAATGGATGGTTTGGGGCCTCTCTCACCGGCTGCTAAATATTGACCATCCTTTGAAAATGCAATGCAACTGAAGGGTTTGTTCGACGTTGGGTGCTCTAAATATTTCACTTGCTTACTTCTCTTAATGTTGTAAAGAACGACAAAGGTTCCTGCCAAATAGGCCACAATTTCAGAATTCATACTGTGACCTCCAATCATTAAAGGAAGGGCTCCCGACATTGGAATGGCTGAAGGGTGTAATTGGAATGAATGTTGATTATAGACAGTACTTCCGATAATTCGCTCTAATTTTAAACCTGATGCTCCTCCCTGGTGATGATGAATGTTATTGCCAATAGAACCCTTACTTCCTCCTTTGTTGATTTGACCCAATGGTGTCGGGATCATCTTTTTAGCAGCGACCCCAGGTGCCACTTTTGACCCGAATTGTATTCGTGATTTTCTTGCATAGGAATCAATAAATTGTGATATTCAATTCAATAAATAATGAGTGAATGATGGGATGATGAAACAATAAATTATGGGAGTTGTATGTACAACGAAAAAAGTGAGCACAATAAATCTAATTGATAGGTTCGTGATACCTCCGATGTAGGATGAGCCTTTTCAAACCTGTAATTAAGTTGGCGCTTTTTTGTATGACCTTTATAATGATTTGTCAATGACATCTTCAGGAGATTGATAAATCCCAACAACAACAACAAAACAGCTGTCGTGCAACAATGAACTGTCAATATTTACTAATTCACTTTATCAATTAACGAACGAATGGTTAACGACGAATTGCTCAATTTGATTCGTCAAAGACGTTTGGCGTTGTAAATTGTTCGGCTCCATAATTTAGAGGAAAAAATGGCTGGAAACAAGAAGAAGGAACATCTCATGGAAGATGAGGACAGCGGTGATGCGGAAGATCAAATTGAAGACGAGGAAGAAATGGAAGAGAAAGATCACGATGAAGCTGACAAAATGATACTGCAAGATGATGATGATGAATCCTCATCGGAGAATCAAGATGATTCCGAAGCTTCCAGTCATATGAATGAAAACACTCGACCTAAAAAGAAGAAGAAAACTTATCACTCGTGTGTAGTGCTGCGTGATTTTAAAGGAGATTTGGAAAAGGCTGGTTCTTTTGGTAACATCTCTGACATGGGTGTTTCGTTGATATTATTATTTGCAGAGAAGGATACCACTTTTAATTTGGCACTCACTTGCAAATGGATATATTCTGTCTATTTGGAATTGAGATCTTATAGTTTAGATTTCATTCGTTTGGAATATCTCAATAGCAGATGTACTCAGTACAAATACTTGTCAAGTTTATTTAAACCATTGATATCCCCATCAATGACTTATAATGAACTGAAGAAAGAAATTGTTGGAAATGGGAGAGAAATAGTTAAAGGGATGGAAAATGTAATTGCCTTTGAACCAGTAGATATTATGCGTGATGATCCGTCATTAATTTTGCCCAACAAATTTTCACAAAGAAGAAACGTTCTAATCAATCTCTTTCAAGATTTTTCACAAGAAGATATCGAGGAAGGAACAGTCATTCGCAAAGACAGCCCTTTCCATAAGATGAATTTGTTGAGATGGAAGAATTTCGGTGTCAAAAATATGAATGAATTTAAAGTTAAGGTGGAAGAGAATTGCAGTGATATGATTCGGATTTTACTTGATTGTTTGTGGAGACATAACGCTTCCAATAAGGTAGGTTCAAACTCTGATACATGTAACAAACATCGCCTTTCGATATGGGCATGATGTTGTACAAATGATTAGGAACAATTCATTGTTGCTGGAGGTTTCGTTTTGAAATGCTTGAGAAAGGAGACCCGTTTTATTCGTGGATAGTACTTCGGATGTAGACATTTTCTGCATTCAGAATGGTGAAACACCAGAAAAGTGTCACTTTTCATTGAGGAGAATTTTATTTGAATTTGAAAAGTTGGCAAAGAACGAAGGCCATGAATACGCTGTTGTGAAGAATAACGGTTGTTTGAACATTCATGGAAAAGAATCATCCAATATTGCACAATTCATTTTGAGACGTGTTGATACAATCGAGGAATTGATGACATTCTTTGACATTGATTGTTGTCGCTTCTGCTATGACGGTACTAATGTGTACACAGTGAGAGAAGGTATTAACAGTATTTCCACATTGCATAACTTTGTTTCCTTTGAACACAAAGGAAAAGGGATGTATACCAGTCGGGCCTACAAATATGGCAAACGCGGTTACACAACTTGGTTCACCAACACCCATCCTCTTGATCATTTCCATGATTGCTCAAAAAGGTTGAGAGTATACAAGAAAAAATTGAGTCTGGTATAATTGACGAAAGTGAATGTTTATATGGAGAAGGAACTGACAGAGATGATTTAGAAGGACTTTACTCCATTTTCAACAACATAAGTTTGTCGTATAGACATATTGTGACTATTAGAAGGATTGGCGTCAAGAACTTCTTGGCAATTGGATGGGAGAGCTACTACTCTGGAATGTGGTTGGATGTTGATTTTGATGATTATGACTTAGAAAAAATTGAATATCCAGAAACTGAAGAGTTTGATGGCTTTGTAAGAAGAGTGACTAGTGAAGATATACACTACTTTTGTTTGAGTGTTAGAGAATTATATATGAACGATGCTAGTATTTTCTTTACAGATTACTATTTTGATTCACATTTGAGAGGTATGTATGCAGAACTTATTTGCAAATACGGGTTACTGTCATATGAATGGATCATTTAACCTTTTTGCAATCCTAATCATCACACTATCGAATGGCAATATTGGATCAACATTTCATAGGAAAATATAATTTTTGGAAATGTTATTGTTGTGGTTTTTATCGACATTCGAGCGACTTGGATCTTGATGATGATAATTCCAAGTTTAATATGTGCAGCACATGTAGAAGCTTTAATTCCAACATGAAAAAGTTGAAGAGAGATTTAACTGGCAAAGTTGCAATAGTGACAGGAGGGCGCATTAAAATCGGTTTCATGGTTACGAAAACTCTTTTGGAAAATGGGGCCACAGTCATTGTCACTACTCGATTTGTCCACGATGCTCACAAGAAATTTTCAGAATATTCTGACTATGAAGAATGGAAATCAAGATTATTCATCTACCCTTTGAACCTCAAAGATGGCGCGTCTATCATGTCATTCTGTGCTTATATTAGAAACAATTTTAAGCATGTGGATTATTTAATTAACAAGTAAGTATCAACACTTCTCAACTGTAACTAACATTGATTTTGTTATTTCCAATCATCAATACTTTTACCAGTGCTGCTCAAACTGTTAGAAGACCCTCAAATATTATGAAAACTTGCTTTCAAAAGAAAAGGAGTACTTGGATGAAAAGTATTTGGGTGATATCAAAGTTGACAACAAGGAAGACTCTGCGACATCATTTAATCATGGAAGTGAATCTTCTCAACTGGTCTTGAGAAATGACAATTCTAAAGTCGTAGTGTACAAGGACGAAAGAACCCTCAGGCAACATTGTTTAGATGTGACTGAAAAGTACAATCTTACTAAGGAGGATTTCGATTCAAATTTAGACAAAATGTTTCCACCTGGAGAAACTGACGAGTTTGGAGAGCAGCAGGATAATAGAACTCACCACTCATGGACATACAAGTTACCAGACGTAGACACTGTCGAATTGTTAGAGACTCAAATGATCAATAATATTGCTCCAACAATTCTTGTGGCTCAATTAATGGAAATTATGCAACCAAATGTTGACGAGAGTCATTGTACCTATGATATGGATGATTTATTGACCGGCAAACATTTGTCATATATTGTAAACGTGGTCTCTCATGAGGGTATCTTTAACGTGGAAGGTAAAACCGATTCTCACATCCATACAAACATGTCGAAAGCAGCATTGAACATGCTCACACGAAGTGCTGCTTCCTATTATGCCAAGAAGGGCATATTGATGAATTCAGCTGACACCGGATGGATATCATCGGCTATTGAGACCTTTATGGAACCTCCATTGAACATCAGTGACGGTGCTTATCGAATCCTGCATCCGATTCTTACTGCCTCTCTGGATTATGGAAAGTTGTACAAGAATTACCATGAAATTAAATGGTAATTTAGTGGCCACATCCTGCTGTCTTCGAAAAAAAGAATCCTTCTTTAATGTTTTTCAAAGACTTGTTCATCATGATATTTAGATTTTTGTTTTTTCAACAAGTCAGATTTTGAACTTGATGATGAACGAGAAAGTTCACAAATTGAGTATTTAGAAACTTTGTGCGCCATTTCGTGTACGACCTGAAATCAAAAAAATACCTGACATCAAAGCCGCATACAACATTTTCCAAAATATCTCTCTCAAGATTATTGGATAGTGTCCTCTATCGTGACGAAAAACAAGATTCATCATGACCCAAGTAATTCAAAGTTATGAATTGCTACTTCAAAAGTTGGTGAGCAATCATATCGGAAGTGATTCCTCTTCTTCCTCAACGACTCTAGATTCCGTTGATTTGCAATTACTGTATCAAGATTCCTATCCAACAAATATTCATGTTCCAGTATTTTCCGACCTCTCTTCTTTGGAGAGAAATTGCTTTGTTTTTTTCTCAGTCCATTCTTTCGGGAGGACAAATTAAGTATTATGAACAACAACTATTGAATTATCTTCAAGCAAGTTTAAGGTCGGAGGAAAACCTTCAAATTGATGGAATATATGAAAGGACGTGTGATGCAGGGCGGACCTCTCATCTCTATTTTTCAACTGCTTGCCGAAATAATGTAAAGCTGAACAAAAAAACCGAATTGTTGCAAGGGTGGACAGGAGAAGTTTTCAATTTGGAGCGAGTCTTGTTCAGTAAGGATATTTTGATAAACAAAGAAGAACGTTTGAAGGTAAGAGATATTTTAAAATATTTAAATCAGTGAAATTGAATTTGTGAATGACATCTCTTGCAGTTTACGGTCAAAACATTTCTCTCCATATGCAAAGCTTTGAGTGAACTGCACTCATGTAATATTAGTCACAACAGTATCCTACCAAAGAATGTTCTAGTGCTTGCGAATGATCTGCAACAAATCCTTAATGCAGAGATTATTCTACAAATACCAAGTTTTGGTCTTGAAACTATTAGAGACACTTTAAACGACGAACATGTCACATATTTTTCAAGACAAGCATTTGAGAATGACAATGAACCATTCTCCACATCTAATGACATTCACATGCTAGGAACAATGATTCTTGGTGTACTGTTTAAGGAGGAAATTGATCCAAAGTTACTCGATATCGACGATTGGAAGAATGAAATGCAAAATATTAAAGACAGAGTATATAGAGCGTTAAACCCTGAAGGTTTGCACAGTGACTCAATTGACGTTCAATTGGAAGTGGTCTTGAAGAAGATTCTAAATATTGCCTTAGATTGTTTGTCTCCTCATGAACAAGACAGGCCAAGCATTTCTGATGTGTTACAGATTTTTACAATCTGTCAAGAAAAATTGTCTGATCATGACAATGAACGAGCTGAGTTAATGCCTTCAAGAAAACCCAAACCACAAGTAGCCACCAAAGCCAACATTGTTGTTCCAGCAATTGATTACAATGATGATATTAACACAAGAACAAGATCAGACTCCATCAATTCTGAGACATCAGGACGAAAATCTAGATCGTGGAAAGCAATCATCAAACCTTTCACGAATTTATTTGTTAAGAAAACAAAAAAGACGTAGAAGAAGGAGAGAAAAGAAAGTACAATACGAAATCTTGAACAGACTTAGCGATGGAGCTTCGGCAGTGGTACTTTTGGCCACCAATAAGGAAAACAACGAAGTTTGTGTGATGAAAAAATACAAAGACGGTGCCTTCAGAGATTACGAAAGAGAAGTCGAGTGTTTAAAGTTGTTCCAACATCGAAGTGTTGTCAAAATGTTGGATCATTATTCATACGAAGAAATTGACGATGCCTCCAAAAAAGATGCAGTCACACGTTGTCATTCTTGAATACTGTAAATTTGGCGATATGTTCACTCAGCAAATAAGTTTTGTGAGCACTAAAGGCAAGAAAGTCAAGTACATGAGACCGCTCAAATATTTGAAGACGTGTATTGATTTATTGGAAGCTTTAGAATGTGTTCACATGAAAGGTTATGTTCATAGCGATATTAAGCCCCAAAATATATTAATTTCCCATGAAGGTGTTAGGTTAGCAGATTTTGGTTTTTCTGTCAAACAAGGACAAGCAATATTGGGAGGAACTTTGCGATATCTACCCCCGAGCACCATGAAGGACAACCCTCACATGCCGGAATTGATGTGTACAGCATGTTTTATTCACTTTTGAAATTTTAAGCAAAAGAAGGTCAACTTTCAAGTTTCTTCTTCTTCAGAGGATGATTTTGTGAGAATATGGCAAGAAAATCTAAAGACCAATCCTTATTTCACATTATTCAACACGAAAGGGAAATCGCTCAACGCCAGCGCACACTACGCTCATCCACTCGTAGAATTATTTGAAAAATGTCTCGACCCTAATCCTGCAATGCGACCTTGCACAGCGGAAGCCCTCGAAGTCATGAAACACATCCACCGAACGCATGCCGCAATACTCATTCAAAAACCATGCGAGGACATTTGACACGAAAAAGATTCAAGAGTGTTCATGAAAAGTAAGGACCATGGATAATGACCTTTTGTAGCTCATCTTAAAAGTATTTGCGTCGTTTCATTACTGTGAATGAAATACACTTGGCGAAAAGAAGTTGTGCACATTGATGTACCTTTCGTGTGTGTATGCTCTACAGGCGATGTAGTAGTAGAATAAAGTCCGTATTCTTTTGATTTTCGAGTGTTCTCGAATGCATTCACAGCTGAAAGAATTCTTTTCATTCAGGAAATGAATTCGAATGTTCGACTCTTTTAAAAATGTCCGAACCGATCAACGTTGAATCTTCACCACCGCCGCTCACTTCCATTCATATTCATCATGCAACACCGAGACGAAGGCTTTCAAAATTCGGACAACTCATGCTCATGCAAGAACAACCGGATGAGCCTCTCGTAGTGGGTGGATTGGTTCTTCTCGGAAGGACTTCTTTGGGAAGCCTCAACCATGATGATAGGAATGATTGCAAGTTCAATCGGAAAGCCTTTGAAGAACGACTCTCGGAAAGATTATTGGCTCGTTTTGTACGTTTCAGAAGTTTGGTGGTGAGTGAATGTGAATACATCGATGTTGGTGTGGAGAATGTATGCATGGAAAATCATGTCAAGTATTGCAAATTGAGTGAAGAAAAGTTTCAACGAATGAGTGAAGATGAAATCTTGAGTGAAATGCTAAGTGAGATATTTACGACACCGTTTGTTCCTGTCCGATACGTGACAGGCTCGAAAATGCCTCTTTGGCAATGTTATGTCATTGAGAACTATTCAAGGAATTGTCTTGTTTTTTAAGATTCATCACTGGATTGGAGATGGAACCTTGTTGCAGAAAATAATTGTCGGCGATTTGTTGGACAATGAAGAACAAGTAACCAATTTTCTGTTAAACAAATACGACAAAATGTTACAAGGAAGTCACAATAATTGGAACTCTGCTCTAAGTATCATTCATAATGTAGAGATAGTCATATCTAGGAACGTACCATTCGTAGGAAAACTTCTGGCATTGGTGGTCGGATTTTTATTGAAGTTTCTTGCGTTTTTTCAACCTTGTTACTTGTATTATATTTAGGAATTAGTGGCGATAGTGATACCATGTTTAAGCCATCTTCAAAGAATCCAAAAGTTGGAAAAGTATCTTGTTCTTTTATTTGGTTCAATGAATCCAACGAGAAGCATGATGCAGACATGACCCATGAAACCGACAAATATTTCACAGTTGAAGAATTTAAGCGAGTGGCTCTATTATTAAGCCAAAACAATTCCAACACAGGAAAAGTCAATGACCTATTTCTGACCATATTCAGTGGCGTCATTGATCGATACAGGTTGAAAATGAGCTCAGATCGTGAACCTCGGAATAATCTTTCCAGAGAGTACATTCTGAAATCGTGTACCTCTCGTTTGGGAATGGGTGTGAACATTCGAACGAGCAAGTCCAGAGAAGAAGCTGGCAATATTGTGGGAGTGTTGTTTGGAACATTGCCTTTCGATATTCACTTAAAACTTCGAGAACGTTTTTCGATCATTCACAAGTATATGAATTTAGCCAAATTCTTGCCACAACCTTATTTCAACAGATATTTATTATGGTTAGCCACTGCCTTATTACCCAAATCCTTAGCCGTGTCACTACTCAATTGGGGAGCATCCTCTTCTACTTTCACCATTTCTAATGTTCAAGGACTTCATTCTCCTGAAGACGAAATATCATTCAAGTTGCTTGGTCATGACTTGATTCAGGGAGTTGGATTCATTCCTCTCGTTAAACCCATTGGAGTGAATAGCACATTGATGTCTTTTAATGGACGAGTTGGTATTTCAGTTGTGTGTGACAAGGGTATTATTCCAAATGCTCATGAAGTGACAGACTGTATTCGAGAAGAATATCTTGCTATTAGAAAAGAACTGGGTATATGATTTCAATCATATTCATCATGCGTTTAATTTTATAGAACACATGCTACTTGAATATGATTCTCTGGCCAGTCTCCATTGCCCAAATAAATAATACCTTTAGCAAACCATCTTAAACCATGATTAACATGTATGTCCTTTGTGGGATGAACAAAAGTATTTCTCACAATCATCGCAATAACTTCTACATTTCTCACTGTCACACACACAACACTCACAACCATCCAATTGTTTAACACATTCGCTACAAAAATTATTTTTACAACGTGCACACTCATCTCCAGCACAATAAAAACAAACATGGCCGCAGAAAGAGACACAAACTGAGCAATGGTACTCATGACACTGTTTACATTTAAAATATTTGCTAATATCATCAGATTTGCCACAATTGACACAATTGACCGGAGTGTCAACAAGGTCCGGAGTATCAATAGCGTCACCCTTCTTAGTATACAACTGTCGATTACATTTGTCAAAAATAAACAAATCCTGATTCTTTTGGGTTTGGGTGGGAAAAGTACCATCGGAATTCATAACAACGTACTCAGTAAGACCCCAAGTATAATCAAAACCCAATTTCTTCAACAGTTCATACGGAACAGAGAAAACTGCCAATTTTTCTCTGTAATCTTTTTCTGATTCGTGTTCGTGTGCATGTGATGTTTTGAAAAGGTTCGCCTCATATCCCAGTTTCTTCAATCCAGCAATAATCAAATCGCATCTTTTGGTACCAAATTGTTCTGTTTTTCCAACTTTAGCAACCATGAAGCCCGAACATGGTCTGTATGCATTATTTGTTTCTGTATGAACTTCTAGGCTCGAAATTTTAATAATATACAATTTTGGTTCGATAGCTTTGGCTGATATTGATGACTTGTTTTCACGTAATATCTCGTTCAAATCGTCAATCAATCCAACGACATTATCTAAACCGTATTGTCGTACAACATCTCTCAAAGTAACGTTTTCACTAACAGATAGTTGACCAAGCCGGTCACACAATTCACCTTCAGAGCTCGAGCTATTGTGTACACAATGTTATTCCGAGCAAAGATTCCGAAAAGATCCATACCTGTCATGATCATCGGAACTGTCAGACATTTCGACTAATTTTTTTGGACTAATTTTAGTTTCTGAATGATCAAGTGGAAGTGCATAATGGATTTTGAATTTAGACGAGAATTTGAAAACGAAAAAGGTGACTCATGGTGTTGCCTTTTTCTCAAACGGTTATCCAATGACTGTGGATATTGAGTTTGAACATGATGGTATTAGCACTGAATTTGGAAAAGAGGATATTGTAAATAGATATGAAGAAACAAATATTTAATTTTGACGATGGATACGCTTTTGTGTTTTCCAAATCACAAAAACCTGTCCTGATTGGTGTAGTGATGTGAAATCAACGAAAACAAGAGTAGAATTTCGTGATCTGAAATTTTTGAAGAGTGTCTAGTTGTTGAAAACAAAACCACAGAAGCTAGACTTGAAATACTTTGCCAGTATTGTTTTTTTTGGTTGAAGCAGTTTGTTGACATTTCATGTGTGGATGAAGATGACAAGAACGAAGAAAATATGCTGTGTTCTGCCACATTCATGGACTCTAATGACTGGGAAGATGACATCGAAGAGGATGAAGAGAGTGAAAAGATAAGGGGAGGAAAAGGATAGAGAGGATAAAGAGAGTGATAAGGATGAAGAGGATGATGAGGGTGATAAGGACAATGAAGAAGAAGAGGACGAGGACGATCAGGATGAATAGCCACAGTTGTTAAAATAAATTAGTTCAATATTTATTTCTCCAGTTATCAGTAGAACTGGAATTCTTATTTTTGAGAATCCACAAAGTCTAACATCTTGCTCATGGCTTGTTTTGCCTCTGGGAAATAGTATTCGAAAAATGGATGACAATGAATCATCATATTGTCAGCAATCACCTGCACAGATGGATGTTTGATATCCTTCAAAATTTGAATAAAAGCCTCATTGTCTTTGGTTACTTCCTCATCCTTGGAATAAATAATTAAAAGATTGGTTTCATGAATTCTCTTGTTGACATTCTTCCATGTAACAAGTGGAGATTCCTCTTCTTTGAAAAGTCTTTGCATTATCGAAATCATTCGATCGGTGCTCATCAAAGTATTTCTAGCATTCATGCTACTAGTGCCCAATTTCAATGTTAAATCATAAGGACCACCAACCAAAACTGCAGCTTTAGGCATTGGAAGATTCTCCACAGCAGCTCTTCTCAAAAACTCTGCTGAAAGAGAAGCACCAAATGAACTTCCAACCAGCACAATATCCTCCGCATTAAACTTTTTCAATAGCCACTGATAAGCTTGAATGACATCATCCGTCTGTTCACTCAATTTTGTTGCAAATTCATTCTTCTTGTGTTTTTCCTCTTCCGTTAAAGCCATCAATCGATATCCCACCGAGAGAATATGAGTCAATGAACTATTAAATCTCGTTTGCATATGCTCAACAATACTTCCGAGTTCAAGTCCTCCAGGTTTACCAGCAAAGCCTCCTCCACCATGAATCAAGAACAAAACTTTTCCTCTTTTATCCTTTCCAAAGTATTGATCCAAATAGAAACGATCTCTCAGATGAACAAACATTGAATTTCTAATTTCAGGAATTGATTGAAAACTCAAAGAATTATGATAGGAAACGGGAGGAGCCAATGATATCATACCCTCTCTCATGGCAACGTCCGATTCAAGTTTTCTTCCAGCATTAAACCGAACAAAATTATAGAAAGTTTGAGCCTCTAATGAAACTTCTTTCCAATCCGGAGTGGTAATTCCCATCATGGTACTTTGTGGGTTTCCGATACTCATTCCTAAATATTTATTTCTCAACAAGACGGCATTGAAAATGGTTCTAATGACGAATACCTGAGTGGAATATTTAGTGTTGTAATTAATAACGAGTCCAACTGCCAACAAGGC